AACCCTCCATTGATTCTTTAAATTAGTGCTCTACATAATTATGTTACTTACTTTTTTCTTTTCCTTTCCATTATATGCCGACAGTATCTGGATTTATTTTAAAGATCTTTTTTTAACAAAAGTAATACGAAGTGGTTAACATAACATCTGTGTAGTACGGAATTAATATGAAAAAAATACTAAATACATTTAAACCAATAAAAAAAACTACGGAGTATCTTTTAAAAAACAGAAACTACTCATTCATATATAATAAAATCTTAGGTATTTTTACTTTAATTAGAATTAAATCCGTCAATATTTAATTAAAATATAAGTAGTACTTACATCGTATGTATTTTAATCGTATTTTGTTATCTAAAAGTATTAGGGAGTTTTAAGGAAAAGAGACAAATAGGCCCTCGAACTTACATAAAAAGGTCAAATGAACCCTTATATAGGAGGCTCTATCCGACCGTCGCCATTTGGGGCAGTTCCTAGTGGAATTTTTTAATGAATGTTTTTGAGAATTTTATTCATTAAGTCTAGTTTCCTCATACCAAATTTCAGCTAACAATTCAACCGGGAAGACATTCAAATGAATTCTTGAAGATAACTGCGCAGTTAATACCAAATTGCAGCTAACAATTCAATCGGGAAGACATTCAAATGAATTCTTGAAGATAACTGCGCTTTTAACTACGCAGTGATCTTCAAGAATTTATTTGAATGCCTTCCCGATTGAATTGTTAGCTGGAATTTGGTATGAGTAAACTAGACATAATGAATAAGATGCTCAAACAATTTCATCAAAAAATTCCACCGGGAACTTCCTCAAATGGCGACGGCCGGACAAAACATACTATATAAGTGTTTATTTGACCTTTTTTTATTAGTACGTGGACTTATTTGCCCCTTTTTCCGAAAGTTTTATTTGAAGGAATGGTTATAGCTACTAGCGACACAGAAAGATGCATATATCTGCCTATCCATTATTATTATTATTATTATTATTATGGTGGGTCCTGCTGATATGGCGGCACCACTCAGGACGCGGCATGATGCCTTACTTCGATTTCGTCCTTAAATTCATTCATAATCTAATCAGCTGGCTAGTCTCCATCGATCTCTTTATTCAAAAGAAAACGAACCTTATCTACATACTTTAATTTTTAATTTGGGGCAAAGTTGTACTATGTGTCTATGGGCACGGATTATATGTTGTATGTCATTATGTAAGTGTTACGCTAGCTATGTGTATGGACCTCCTTCACATGAATGATTGTGGTTCATAATTAGAGGAATGTAACTGCATTGGTTAAGCTTCAAGAAATTAAATACTCCCTAATTGTATTACTTCGATCCCATTATACTTTGTCAATTTTAAATTGAGTGTGACATAAGAAAAGTAAAAATTGTGTGATTGAAGCTTATGTTTAGGTGATTTAAGAAAAAACGATTTTTTTTTAGAATAAACGAAAAGACAAAGATGGTAAAATCCAGTGAGAGGAGAGTATATCAATTAATTTTAGAATGAATCCCGATCTTAATATATTATCAAAGTTAATTCGCTTCAATGGTGTAGACATGTATGAAGTACAACCTATGTATCACCGATACCGGTACGCGGAAACGCGGAAACGCGGAAACGGGTACGGGGATACGTCAAAACCAAAAAAAGTAGGATACAGATACGGGGCCATATTTATAAATATTAAAAGTTATGGGGGTGTATTTACAAATATTAAAAGTTATAGGGGTCTATTTATAAATATTAAAAATAGATTTTTTTTGAATATACATATATATATATATATATATATATATATATATATATATATATATCTAAATCTAAATAAAATCTTATAATAGCCAATGAGGGTAAGGGTGTTTTGGGTATTAAAAATGTGTTGGTGTAATCTATTGCAATATAAGATTGTACATTTCATGGAAAACCTTGTACGGCCCTATTTCTGATGCAGCCTCTCCATTTACCTTCCGTTAATTAAACTCCGTTTTCTAACACCATCTAATTTTACATCTAATCCTCTGTCTCTTACGGCCTGACACTTATGAATTTGGTGTTTGTTCTTTCCGTCTAATCCTCCTAACAAAACATCCTTAGGAATATAAGTAATCAGGCATTTTTTTTCATATAGGTAATCAGGCATTTTAATAATTTACAAGCATGTATATCAGTGTTTACAAAAATGTTTCCATCATTTGCAATGGAGTCAAAGATTCATTATTTTTTGGCTTGAGAATATGATGGAATAAAGCAAAATGGTACACTAAACTGTCTACGCTTCTTTGTTATGAAGCAGCAGTCAGTCTATGCAATTTTGGACGCGATTTTCACTACGGGTCATCCGGAAACAGTCTCTCTGTGCTTTAGTACAAGGATAAGACTGCGTACATCCGACCCCCCCCCCTTACCCAACCGTAGGTCGGAGCCTTTGCGGCACTGGGGTAAATGAAAATGAAAATGAAAATGAAATGACAAGCATGTATATCAGTATATGTGCGCCACACACATTTGTATATATGACAATGACACTTATATAATGTACTACCTCCGTCCCATTTTATGTGTCTTAGTTTGACTCAACACGATTATTAATGAAGTGGTTGAAAAAGTAAAAGTTGTGGTTGAGATTTGAGGGAGTAGCTTATTATGATCCTTTTGGTAAAAAAAAAAGTGATCCTTTTGGTGGGTACATTTTGGTTTCAATAATGTATCAAACTGGTATTTTGAGTTCAAGTGTCTCAATGTTAATTAAATTATACTGCGTATATATTATTAAGAAAATCCTCACTTGTTTAACAAGGGAGTTCTAGAGAAGTGATCAATGTAACCCGTTATTATTGTTATTATTATTATTATTATTATTATTATTATTATTATTATTATTATTATTATTATTATTATTATTATTATTATTATTATTATTATTATTATTATTATTATTATTATTATTATTATTATTATTATTATTATTATTATTATTATTATTATTATTATTATTATTATTATTATTATTATTATTATTATTATTATTATTATTATTATTATTATTATTATTATTATTATTATTATTATTATTATTATTATTATTATTATTATTATTATTATTATTATTATTATTATTATTATTATTATTATTATTATTATTATTATTATTATTATTATTATTATTATTATTATTATTATTATTATTATTATTATTATTATTATTATTATTATTATTATTATTATTATTATTATTATTATTATTATTATTATTATTATTATTATTATTATTATTATTATTATTATTATTATTATTATTATTATTATTATTATTATTATTATTATTATTATTATTGTTATTCTTATTGTTATTGTTATTGTTATTGTTATTGTTGTTGTTGTTGTTGTCGTTGTCGTTGTGGTCGTCGTCGTCGTCGTCATCATCATCATCATCATCATCATCATCATCATCATCATCATCATTATTATTATTATACGGAGTAATTATTTAGGAGGCCGTTTGACAACACTATTTTTCAGCTTATCAGTCAACTTTTCACCAAACACGTATTTTTTGCTTTCGCGCGCTGAATTGTGTAATAAGCAGAAAAAATAAGGTTGATCTTACTTTTCTGGCTGTATTGGCTGAAGTTACTGTAGATGACAATTATATCTATTTTACACATAAATTTTTCTTTGATTTATTAATAAAATATATTTTTAAAATAATTTTTTCTTAAATTGGCAGAATCAGCCAATGCAGCCACTTCAGCCAAAACTTCATAAATGTTAACAAACTCAGCCAAATTAGCTGATTTTACCAATCGGCTTCATATATGGTAACTAAGGTCATATATTTACAAAAATATTCTCTAAATACTACTCCATATAACTTACCCACACTCTTTTAGAGCAACTATTATATGACACCCTTAAGAAAAATCCAATAACACAGTCTAATATTATTCATTCTAGAAAATTATATTGGGCATTTATCTTTCGCGCATCGCGCGAAGTATAACTAGTATATATATATATACATATAATATCCTGTGATGTCTACCCATTCATTGCATTGAAGCATTTTCCTTTTTCAAGATACTTAGTAATAAATTCATAATATTTCTCATATACACTAGTGTATCTCGAAATATAAATGTAGTCAATAAGTCATTAATTTAAAATGTGAAATAAGTCAAACAACTACAATCTTGAAATTAAAAGTGCAAGTACCCACTTTGGAGTATGAGTTAATGACTTAATTCGGATATAGCCATATAGGCCCATTATTTGATTACCAAGTAAAATGTAGTTTTAGATTTTCATTTTTTTTTTTGGAATTTTATTAAGTAAATTTTGGGATTTTTTTTTTAAAAAATGATTGATACGGGTATCCGTCAGGATACGAGTATCGGAAACTTTCAAAAAATTACAAAAAAAATGGAAACTTTTAAAAATTGCAGATACGGCCCGGGAACGTACGGTACGGGTATCCTAGAGTATCGGATACGGGAACGTATCCGATACGCCGATACGCTACCCTAGAGAAGTATCCGTGCTTCATAGAGTACAACTGTAGAATCATGTTTGATTTTTATAACCAGTAGAATTTTTATCTGTGCCGTGCACGGGGTAAAAAATGTTACGTAGTATTACTTTTAGTTTTATTATAGAACGCAGAAAAAAAAATTGAAGATGCGAGTGTCGCTTCATAGCATCTAAAGAGAGTGGACAACCAAAAAAATTGAAGTATATTGATATTGAATTATGATCTCTAATTGGTTCTAATTTGTTCATTGTTACATAAAACTCATTTCCCATCAAATATTTAGGAGTTCCCCTGCATAAAGGAATGAACAGAGTTAGTCATTGCATGGACCTTATTCATAAATTTGACTCTAAGCTCTCAACCTGGAAACAAAGTCACTTATCAATGGCTGGTAGATTGATTCTAATAAAGCATGTGTTAAATACAATTCCCCTACATACTATGGCAGCTGATAAACTCCCAAAGAAGGTTATTAATATCATTGAGAAGAAAATGGCTTCCTTTCTTTGGGGTTCTTCTCATTCAAAAAGAAAATATCATTGGGTGAAATGGTCTCATCTATGCTATCCAACTGAGGAGGGGGGACTTGGTATTAGAAGCCTTTCAGATATTGAAAAAGCATTTTCTATTAAACTATGGTGGAAATGGAAGACTGGGGACTCTCTTTGGGCTAATTTTTTCAGATCTAGATATCCTAGAGGCCTAAATATGGTCCCTAAAGTCTATGATTCTCCAATTTGGAGAAGAATTTGTTCTATTAATGAGTTTGCTTCAACACTGTGTGGTGTGAACTCTGATGGGAGTATTTTTTGGGAACCTACAGCCTCAGGTGTTTTTTCTCTTAAATCTGCTTATGAGGAAGTTAGAGATGAGAGATCTTCTACCTTCTCTGCAAAGCTCAGTTGGCACCCTAAGCTTCCTCTAAAGATCAGATTGTTTCTCTGGAGGTTGCTTAATGGTTCTCTGCCTATCTCAGATAATTTGTCTAGATTCCAGACAGTTATGAATCCTTCTATATGTCCTCTATGTAGAGCCCATTCTGATGTTGTGGATCATGTTTTCTTTGGCTGTACAAGGATTAGACCTGTGTGGGATTATTTTATGGGGATTTTTGGAGTTTCTATATCTAATCAAACAGATTCTATTAGGCATGTCCTCATTTCTTGGTGGATTCAAGCAGGTTCTAAAACGCTTGATGATATTTTCAAGCATTGTTTACCGGGAATTATTGGTTGGCATATATGGAGAAGCTATACTTCTTTGGTGTGGGGTACTGCTGATAGCGGACTGGCTTCAGCATCTATTATACAACAAATCAAGCAATATACATGTTGTTGGGTCACAGCTATTAAGCCGAAAAGATTATGGAAGGTCAGTGATACTGTATTTCAAGAGCAATTGGTACCAAAAGATTTTAGGCTGGGTAAGCCGTTGATAAAATCGATTACATGGCTGAAACCGAGGAACACTCTAAAACTAAATATTGATGCGAGTTACTTATCTTATCACGCTGCTGGGGGTGCTATCTTGAGAGATTCTGACGGGAAACTGGTTGTTGCTTCCTCTTTCCCGATCTCGGCTTCATCTTCGTTTGAAGCTGAGCTTGTTGCTGTCCTTCATGCTACCTCGTGGGTGATATCCCTAGGGTTTCGTAGCTTCCAAGTTGAGATCGACGCCATGGAAGTGTTGGAGTATCTGCAGCGAAGTAGGATTGGAAGGAGAAGAGACGAGGTTAATCGATTAATGGAGCTGTCTGAAGAGAGTGATGTTTCCTATTCCGGTGTTTTGAGAGAGGCCAACTGGACGGCACACTATTTAGCCTCTGCTGATATGGGCCGGCCCATTATTATCTCTAATGTGGCGGATCTTCCTAATCAGGCTCGAAATGCTTACTACTCAGATTTATTTGGGCTGTCTTCCTTGCGATTTACTTATTAATTCTTTCTTTGTTTGTTGATGTATTTTTGCGTATGCTTGATTTTTTAGAGAAGTTTGGTTTGGCCCCCTTCTCTGTCTGTATGTTTCTATCTTTTATTAATAAAATTCTGGCAGATGACCCCCGGCTTCTGCCCCACTGATTTTGGTGGTTTGCCTTCCGGGGTAAAAAAAAAAAAACATAAAACTCATTTCAGTTTTATCCAAATGAAACCACTTTTTTCCACCCTCTATACTTAAATAAGAAGTGATTAATTATGATTACCATCGATTTAAGCAATAATTGTTATACTGCACGATAAATCAAGTGACACTAAAATGTTTGCAATTTAATCAATACACTAATTTTAATTTTGTATGTAATTTATTGGGGGATCGATAAAGTAAAATAATGTCAAGGCAATGGAAACTAACAATTATTTGAAAAAAAAAACTTCATCGGATTATCAAATACCATGTAATGTTTTTAAAACAGGACACACCAGTGACACCACATATTATAGAGGCCGTTTGGCAACACTGTTTTTCGGCTTATCAGGCTTATCAGCCAACTTTTTTACCAAACACGTAATTTTTGCTTTCGCGCGCTGAATTGTGTAATAAGCAGAAAAAGTAAGGTTGGAGTTACTTTTCGGGCTGTATTGGCCGAAGTTACTGTAGATGACCATTTTAGCTATTTTTACATATAATTTTTCTTTTATTCTATTAATAAAATATATTTTAAAAATAATTTTTTCTTAAATCACCAGAATCAGCCAATGCAGCCACTTCACCCATAACTTCATAAATTTCAGCAGAATCAGTCAAAACAGCCGATTTTCATGCTACCAAACGGCCTCATAGTTTTTAAAACAAATTAATGAAATCTCAAAAGAGGAAGCATTTTAAGTATAGAGGAAATCTAGAAAAATACTTAAAAGTTGTTAATTCTAACTTGCTAGGAGTGAAAGCTACACATAAATTCATAGTGATATATATATATATATATAGCTTATCATAACAAAGCTCATGGATTTGATAATCGGTAAAGTTGTTCGATCAGTATCATAAAGAGAATTTTCAGGACACACATATTATTAGCTCATGAGTTTATAGTTGTAGGAATTTGTGTTTGAACTTAATTGAATCACAGATAAATACAAATAAGCATGACGTCCACATATGTAGCATCATATATAGGTTCTATATACTCACAGCCGTAATTATTTATTGAATTAGGAAATTAGCATAAGAATTATTCAAGGAGAGTTATTATTGTGTTGACATGTGACAATACTTTCCTAAAATGTAACTTGAAATGTATTATTTATAAATTAGTAAAAAAATCCGAGAGCTGAAACTCTCGGCCAAAATATATCAACATTATATTAATATTTGCACTACAATAAAAATAACAGTAAGTTTCATAAATGAGATAAAAAAAATTATTCCAATTGAAAATATCCTTAATTTAAAAAGTGAACATAAGTTGGAGACAACATTAAGACAAATTTGTATGATTAACTCAATTTCAGCCAATTTCAGTGTTACCAAACTGGCTCTACCTTCAACTTTTTTTTCGTTTTATGGCTCATATTCTTTGGTGACAAATAAAAGTTTACTCATGAATACTTTTAATGTCACGCCCCGGACCGCGTCCGTGCCACGTAGACAACCGCCGTACAACCCAATAAGAACAACGTAGTTCAATCTTATTAGATCATACAAGGCGTCCGATAGATTCTATTGCCAAACCGATTAGTAAACTCATACAATCAACATCAATATAACTCAAACAAATGCGGAAATAAAATATGTTTGAAGTTTAGCCACACGTGGCAAACATAGGCACGCAGGCCCCCAAGTAGTTTAATAGAAAACATTGTATAAATATCCATGAGCAGTTACATTGTTTCAAGTAAGAGTGGAAGCACGAACCACGTCTTCCTTATTCGATGATCACCCTGGGCAAAGGTGCAGGAGTAGGACTCTAGCCTCAACCTGAAAAATGTGAGGGCCCCCGAAGGGGTCAGTACTCCATAGAAGTACTAGTGACAAGCAGGCTAGATGAAGAGTAACTAATATTTCAAACACAAGACCCAAAAATAGGATGATACATATATTTATAGGCATAACCGTAGTTACCCCATTCCCAAGATAATACATACTGTATATACTTGTAAAATACTTGACCCGTAGGTCCTTTTCTTTGAAAGAGTCTTTTTAGAGATAAGGTACTCACCCGACCTTTCCCATCTATTCCCGAATGCCTAGCTCAATAGCTACATTCTATCTTACTAATATCCTACCGAGTTTCAGGATCATTTACTGTCCCGAGGATACTCAACCTCAACCGAGTTTCAGGATCACGCCCGTCCCGAGGATACTCAACCTCAACCGAGTTTTAGGATCACGCCCGTCCCGAGGATACTCAACCTCAACCGAGTTTTAGGATCACGCCCGTCCCGAGGATACTCAACCTCAACCGAGTTTTAGGATCGATTACGTCCCGAGGATACTCAACCTCAGTCTAATTCCTCACCAAACCCTAACCTGGATATGGCTAAACTTTCTTTCACTTAACTATGGACAATACCTAGTCCTATAGTTGTATAATAATCACTAGTAACCAACGTGGGCGGGTCCCACTTGAACGGCCCACGTTAACCTGCTCAAAACTTCCCGTTTTGGCATAATATCAATACCCTATCGGGTACCCACCCATACTCGGTCGAGTATGGGAGCCAGTAGCTCCAAATATACACTTCCAGCCCATACTCGGTCGAGTATACACCCATACTCGATCGAGTATGGGAGGCAGAAACTCCAGAATAGCACTTTCTGGCCATACTCGGTCGAGTATATACCAATACTCGGTCGAGTATGGGAGTTGACTTGGCGTTCAACGCCCGTTTGGCCGCCCAAACGAAGTCCGATTAACGTGAAATTTGACATGCGTGTACCTCTAGACTTCCTTAACCCAAAAATACCATTTTGAGTCCTTGGAACATCATGTACACTAATTTATAATATTTTCATTAGTCAAACTTGTTTAACATGCTTTTCACTATGTTATGTTCTTCTATAAGTCATAACACATGCTTTAATACCATTAATCAATTCATAAAACATATTATTGATTAATTTAGGTAATCTTATGCCTAACGCAAAAGTTACAAAGCATATAGCCGTCTTCTCACCTTAATGAAGCCTTGAAGTCTTAGCCTTCCTTATTGAGCTCCGACGAAACTCCGGCGAACTTCAACTGACTCCGGCGACCACTCCGGCGACTCTTTCAACTCCGTGAAAGTTCTTGAAATACCTTATACAAGTTAACAACAAGGTTTTATCATCATAAAACCCTTAGCAACACAAATAACCTCCAAAAGGTTATTTTCCGGCGAAACCGCCTACTTTGTCTTCTAAGTCCGTTCTTGGACTTAGAGCTTCCTTTCCAACTCCATTCTACACTTTCACACGTGTAGAACTACCCTAGGAGTATGAAATATGATTAAGGAGAAGAAAAAGGATTAATGAAGTCATTACCTTGTTAACCACAAGTTTTCCCACCTAAACTCCTCTTTTCCCTTCTCTTTTTCCTTCCTCCTTCCTTCCCTTGCTTTGGGCGTGTATGGTGGATAACAATGGAGTTTTTGCAGCACTCTCTCTCTCCTTGGATGTGGTATAGCCGAGCTGTGATGATATGGGGTGATGGAGAATGCCTTTTTGGCATTTCTCTCAAATATCACATGGGAGGGTCCCATATATTTTATTACATTTGTTCCCAAATCAAATCCTGCCCCTTCTCCTTTATTATTGTGCGGCTCCCCTTGGCAAATGCAGCCCAAAGTCGTGGGGTGGCCCCCACTCATGTGGGAGGTCATCCCTTAATGTCCCCAAGTGTACAATTTGTCCCGAAAGTTGTATTTTCTGGACTGTTTTAACTATATTTCATTTTATCGGGTCCAATGAAATATTTACCATTCCTCCAATCAATATTGGCTTTTTAGATAGATGTACATTCCCCAACTTTTAATTGACGGACTCCATAATTTATTATGGTCTTTTATCTGTCAGTACTCCGGTACCGGTAATTGGGCCTTACGTACACAACTGACCACTCGCATGGTTTCTATAGCCCAACAAGACTATCCACTATCATATAAACATCATCTAAGCCCAGATGAATATAATATGTAGTCCCGATATTCCCGGGCGGTCCCCACCTCCGGTGTGGGCCCCACGTGAAGTTTACTATTCACGTAAAGAAATGATAAAAATTTACAATCGCGTAAAATACGTTTATTCATTTCTCATGGTTCAATACAACATTTAATTGAGTACAAATACTTGGGGGCGGTGTTACAAGTTCTACCCCCCTTATTTGGGATTTCGTCCCCGAAATCCACGTGTCTAGTCAAACAGAAATGGATATTGTTCCCTCATCCAGGTCTCCACTTCCCAAGTTTGCTCCTCGACACGATCACTCTTCCAAAGCACCTTCACCATCGGTACCTCTTTACTCCTTAGCTTCTTTACCTGTCGGTCCATGATCTTTACCGGTTGCACCGCATAGTGAAGGTCTTCTCGGATTTCCACCGGTGGTTTCTCAAGAATATGTGACGGATCCCGTACATACTTCTTAAGCATAGAAATGTGGAACACGTTATGAATCTTTTCTAACTCTGGAGTTAACTGAAGTCGGTATGCCACAACCCCAATCCTTTCAATGATTTTGAATGGGCCTATGTAGCGTGGGTTAAGCTTACCCCGACTGAGAAACCTGATGATCCCTTTCCAAGGTGACACCCTCAGAAACACCTCATCACCGACCTCAAACTCCAATGTCCTCCGACGTTTATCTGCGTAGCTCTTCTGCCGGTCTTGGGCAGCCTTGAGCCTATCCTGAATAATTTTCACCTTTTCCTTGGTGATCTCAACTAACTCCGTACCCTCAAGCTTGGCCTCGCCAACCTCATCCCAACACAAAGGTGTCCGACATTTCCTCCCGTACAATGCTTCGTACGGAGGCATGCCAATACTTGCCTGATAACTGTTGTTATAGGCGAATTCTACTAACGCTAGTTGGTTGTCCCAGCTCCCCTGGAACTCCAAGGCACATGCTCTCAACATGTCCTCCAATATTTGAATCACCCGTTCA